ACGCGCGCCGCATATGGCCGGGGCGGCGGGAGGTGCGTCCCGCTGGGAAGGAGCCGCAGCCATGAGCGGGAGGGAGAGGCGCGGGGATTTGGCCCGCGCCGCCCACCCGGCCCCTGCCCGGACCCACCGCGCGCCTCATATGCCTGTGGTGGGCCGGGAGGCTCCGCGGGGAGGGCAGCGCGCGTGGCCAGGGCCTGCTAATGCCCACGGCCCCTTTTAAACTCCCTTTTTTTTTTTGCTTCCCCCGCCTGTCCTGATATTTTATGCTGCTGATCTGGTCACCCTAGTGGTGACTGACACTCTATAAATACCTTAACAAGCTGATGAGGTGGTTGGAGCAGCAGGTAATGATGATAATCTTAGCGATGGATTTATGTACACAATTGAGAAGGAAGATGAGATATGCAGGGATGCCTAGCGGGGAGGTCTAGATTGGATATTAGGAAAAACTATTTCACTAGGAGGGTGGTGAAGCACTGGAATGGGTTACCTAGGGAGGTGGTGGAATCTCCATCCTTAGAGGTTTTTAAGGCCCGGCTTGACAAAGCCCTGGCTTGGATGATTTAGTTGGGGTTGGTTGGACTAGATGACCTCCTGAGGTCTCTTCCAACCCTAATCTTCTATGATTCTATGCCACAGATGTGACCAAGGATCTCTCACAATTCTTCCATATTGGCAAATGAAGAGTACAATATTAGTTATCACTACTCTGCCTCCACTCCTGACATCTGTCTTAGTGTTGGGGAAGTCAGTGCTTTGCTTCCTGCTAGGAAGTGCCTCATCAGACACGTGAAGTGAAGTCCTGACTCTAATCAAGCCCTGCATACTGGTGCTTTCGGGGGAATGTTAAAACAAAGCCACTGAAATACTTACTTATCTAATCAATGGAAGAACAAGTCAGATCTCCTCTGTGGATTTCTATCAGTAACATAGCAAAGTTGCCAGCTGACTCTGTTTACATTTGTAAGATTTCTCAATCTGTCTTTTACTTCTTAGCACTGAGAGGTTCATAAATGGAACCAAGCCTATTTGTCAGCTATAATTGTTTTGCAAACAGTAACAGAAGTTAATAAATCTCACTGGTGATTCTGTAATAAGATGTATGGCAAATATAAATGAGGCTGTGTTGTCTAGCAAGTTGGAGCAATGGACTGAAACCCTGGCAACTACTTTCATTCCCTTGTGCCTCAGTCAGTAGAGATTAAAAAACGAATAAACTGTAAGAAACTCACTTAGAATCAGATGCTCCATAAAACAGGAAATAAGATGCATTAAATCAGTGGCTCTAAACCTTTCCAGATTACTGTATCCCTTTCGGGAGTCTGATTTGTCTTGGGTACCCCCAAATTTCACCTCACTTTAAAACTACTTGCTTACAAAATCAGACATAAAAATACAGAAGTGTCACAGGACACTATTACTGAAAAATTGCTTACTTTCTCATTTTTACCATAGAATTTTGAAATAAATCAATTAGAATATAAATATTGTACTTACATTGCAGTGTATAGTATATAGAGCTGTATAAACAAGTCATTGTATGTATGAAATTTTAGTTTGTACTGACTTTGCTAGTGCTTTTTGTGTAGCCTGTTGTAAAACTAGGCAAATATCTAGATGAGCTGACGTACCCCCTGGAAGACCTCTGCATACCCCCAGGGGTATGCATACCCCTGGTTGAGAACAACTACATTAAATAAGTCACAAATCATGCAATCTGTTGGGTAACTACTTTGGCCCAGATCCTCAGTTGGTGTAAATCAGTGTAGCTTCACTGAAGCTAATAAAGCTAAATCTCAGAAGAGAGATTAAAACTTTCTTTTGTGCAGGGTTTCCCAGTGAAGAGGGAGCCATGGGTAGTGTTGATGCAGTCAACTGGCTGAATTGAGCTGTTGTTTGTTAGATGTTTGGTGGTTTTGTTTTGATTATAAATCATATTAGGAGGTTTCCAATGCTCTGAATGGAGGCAGAGCTTTCCCACAGGAGTAAGCATTGCTACTGAGGTTTGTTTTTCCTTATTTTAAAAATCCCTTGAGTTGTTGAGTTTATCTTGAGCAAAAGAATTGGCTGATTTTAAAATGAGAAGCCCAGGGTATCCCAGCTTTGTATATTTTCCTGTATGTGAGCTTAGTGTATGTGGTATTTTGCTGTTTTTGTTTTTCAGGAAGTGATGCATGCTCTAAGGCAGACTTGGCACACGACTTGCTTTGTCTGTGCTGCCTGTAAGAAACCGTTTGGGAATAGCCTCTTCCACATGGAGGATGGGGAGCCCTACTGTGAGAAAGGTATAACACACAATAGAGCCACTGTATCTTACTGGATAGTACTGTTCAATACTAGTGTCCTTCATGTTATCTGGCAGAACCACAGAAACAGGGCAATTGCCAAGCAAAATCAGGCCGATAGCCGATCTAGTCTGGTAGTTTGTCTCTGGCATCAAGCTATACGAGTGTTTCCTAGTCTGTGTTTTCCCACAGCTTCCCTTGCTTCCTTGTGATTAGACAGGCTGTTTGTTGGGTTTTAAACCGGACAGTCCTGCTTTTTGTAGCGTTTTCCCCCCATCTGGTACTGAGACAAAACTGGACATGGTTTTGTCCATTATCAGATGAGAAACACTGTAATGGAGAGCGCGCCACTCCACTTCTGTCAGTGTGACCTCATGTGAACTGGGGCAGGGCGGTGTGCTCCTCAAAATGGCACCCTCTTTGTGGCATGACCTTGCACACACAGGCGCTGACCTTTGATTTTACCCCATGCATGCTCCACCCTGAGGCCCCATTCCCACTTGGTCCCTTTTCCCAAGGCCCCACCCTTGCTCCGCCTCTTCCTGCCCCCGCTCTGTCCCTTCCCCCAAGACTCCCCCACACTGCTCCCTCCTCTCCACTCCACCCTTCCCCAAGCGCCTCCTGCCAGCTGCTCACTGACCTGCGGCCAGCCCTGAGGGCCTGTCGAACAGCTGATCGGTTACCAGCCCTGGGGCTGGAACCACTGTGGCCAGTGGGTGCTGAGTGCCCATTTTTTTTCCATGGGGGTTTGAGTCAGCACCCATGGAGTTGGCACCTATTCTTGCATACACGCCCACACTATTCCCAGAAATGCCGGAATGCCCAGTATTCCAGGAATTTGCAAGTGTCCACCCTACAAGTTGTGATGGGCCGGCAGATAGGTGGATAAATAAATGGAGCTAGCCAGGTGAATGAGCTATGAGGCAGGATCAAGGCTAGACTAAATTGTGAAGTGGTCCTTCCCTCCACATGCCCTGTCTCTGCTCTGTCCTGCATTCCTAGCCTCATCTCTCTCTGGTAGTGAGAAATAGACTCCTGAAGGGTCAAAGAGTACCTCCTAGGTCCTCGATTTAAGGGGGGGATAAATCTAAAATGGCTTAGATTGGGACCCCAACACGTACTCTCTTAAAATGGGAGCTTTCAACCACAACCCCAATAACCTGAATACTTTTTTGACTCTCTTGCACCTTTTCTATTTCTGCTGTATCTTTTTTGAGATACAGTAACTCCAGATTGACTTCAATATTCAAAGTTAGGATACATTAACCAAAGGATACAGTGTTGTTATATTTTCTATTTAATGCAAAAATTATGGTAGTCCAACATTAAACTAAAAATATAAATACATAGCAGGCAGGGAAATCTAAGTGGTGCTTACACAGTGCTCATCATGTCATCCCCCTGGTTCTCATATAGTATGTTGTATAAATTCATTTTGTGCTTATGATTTTTCTGGTGTGTGTGTGATTATAAATCAATCTATCTATGGCTAATTTCCAAATCCTGTGGGAAACATAACTTTGAATTTCCTGAATTGTGTGTGTTTATATTCACAGCCATAATACTACATTAAGTGGGTTTTTGCATTGAATTTCTGTGTTTAAAGAAGTAAAGGAAGGAGCGGGGGGAGCTGCTCAAAAATTTTACCCTTGGAGAATTTGAGTGGGAGGTAGAAAAGAATTCTAAATAAAAATAATCCCAAGAATCACTACTAGGCACATCTCTGATTCTTCTTGGGTGTAATATGCTTGTGTTCAGCGTTTGTTCTAAGTTTGCTTTTGTTTTATTTTAGATTACATTGCTTTGTTCAGCACAAAATGCCATGGCTGTGATTTTCCTGTTGAAGCAGGAGATAAATTCATTGAAGCCCTTGGACACACTTGGCATGATACCTGCTTTATTTGTGCTGTAGGTATCTACATTAAAATCTACATTATTATTCTATAATCTTATTAGAACTTGTGACATTATACTGGAAGAATTCAGTTTAGTGGTGGTGGTGGGAAGCAGTTGATTGGTTTTAATTGCAGATGGGGGTTATTTTCCTTTTCCTAACCCCCACCCCCACCTCCAGTTTTCATCAGAATAGCTAAATTTGATCTACATTGCTAATGCTCTGAAACACTAAGAAAACACTTGTGCTTTTTGGAAGAGTCTACAGAAACTGTGTGGGAGAGCAGTGCTTGGTAGTCTTTTTAACTAAATTTGCACACCAAGTGGTAAATCAGGATTTAAAATAAATCTCAGGCAATGATATTATCACCAAATTGAATAGTGTGAAATATAGTGACCAAATGTTCTGTTTATACAGCTGTGCAATTTGCATTTTCACACAGAAAGGAGTCAGTTCAGAAAAAACAAATAGTAATTAGTACAGATGTTAGTCAGAGTCATCATTGTGTCTGCTCTTGTGCATGTGTATACGTATTACACACACACACACACACACGATGGTAAAATCTATATAATAATCAGCACTTGTCACCCCTGAGTGTCCCACCTGCACTCATCCACTAACCCATTTCCCCTAGAACTATTAGTAATATTCCAAGCCTCTCATCAGCTACAAACAGTACATTGACATGGTCAGAAAGAACAGCGACAGCCTCACTGATTCGTTTGGGGCCGTACACCTCTCTAATGAACTTTAGGAAGTATAGAATTGATTGTTTGTGTCAAATGTTAAATTAACCTACTGGCTGCTGTTTTTACTTCAGTGATATAATATGCTCCTTTTCTGAAATTGGGAATGTCTGAAGTGGATACATGCATTTGCATTAGTACACAGACTATTGCTTGCACAATCCAGTAGCTATTTTCTCTTGATTCAACATCATTTTGTCATAAAAACATATTTAATCACTTATAAAAGACACCTTCTCTGAATATTTCCTATTCTGGTGCATTTGCACTTTTAAGTAGTTTCTCACCCATTTATTTTAGTTGGCAAGACCCAAGTGTTTGTAGAGGTGACACTATCCCTTTGTTCTGTTAATGTAATTTTCACAGCTGTCCCACCCCAGTTTATCCTAATTGTTTTACTGGCATATAAAGCCAAACAGAAAAATCCATGTCAGTCTGTCTTTGCATTTCTAACATGCTCATCCCAATCTTATTAATGTGCATTGCTTTCTGTCTAGCTGCAGTAGCACATTACTGTAGTTAGCACTTCTAGTCTACACTGGCAATGCTAAGCACTGCCATGGCAGTGCTTTAACATGCCTTGTGTGGTCACAGCGCAGTGCTGGGAGAGAGCTCTAAAAAACACACCTCAACAAGGGGCGTAGCTCCCAGCGCTGGGAGCATGCGCTGGGGCACTGTTTACACTGGTGCTTTCAAACGCTGCAACTTGCTGCGCTCAGGGGGGTGTTTTTTCACCCGCTGGAGCGAGAAAGTTGCAGCGCTGTTAACTGCCAGTGTAGCGAGTTATCTCCTAATACTGATCACTGCCTAACTCCTTAAGTGGTCCTAGTGAAATTTATCGGACTCTCATGGAGTATGGTGCTACTCATTGTGAGTCAGCGTATCAGAATCTAGTCCTTAAAAACTAAGGAGCAATAAAACTGTTACTAATAGCTACATTTCTCTTTGTGATTCCTGATTGTGTTTAATCTTTAATTTTAGGTGTGCCATGTGAATTTGGAAGGTCAGCCATTTTACTCCAAGAAAGATAAGCCACTGTGCAAGAAACATGCTCATGCCATCAATGTCTAAAAGAAGACCTGGAAGCTACTGGCACTGTGAGAAAATTGGCAACGAACTGAGAAATTGCAAAAAGGATAACCCCAACTGACATTTCTCATTGAGGGGAGGGTAGGAAGGCTAGGAAGCTATTGAACACTTCTGAAGTATAACTTTAATCACTTTTATATTTGCAGAGCATTTTTTTGCATGGTCCATACAGAAAGCTGAATGAACACTCAATGGCAAATTAGTCAATCTGAGTCAAATATTACTGCAAAAGTTAGAACAAAAATTAAAGAGATTAAAATTAATTTTAAAAAATGTTTTATGTAAAAATAAGTAATAAAAATACCCAGACCAGCCTTAGAGCTGAGACCATACACTAGTGTTTAAAAACAATTAAAAATAATTCTTGAAATTTGTTACAAGAAAATATTAAATGCCAAAATATTAATTGTAAAATAATGTATAGAATCATAGCTTTTAAATTAAGATAAGTAGATCAGGATTTCCTCACCAAAAAGGAAGTATTATTCCATTATTTATGTCATGGTGCTATATCCAAGCATCAATTTTTTGAATGAACTAGAGCAGGGGTCGGCAACGGTTGGCACACGGCTCGCCAGGGTAAGCACCCTCGCGGGCCGGGCCAATTTATTTACCTGCTGACGCGGCAGGTTTGGCCGATCGCGGCCCCCACTGGCCGCGGTTTGCCGTCCCGGGCCAATGGGGGCGTCAGGAAGCCCCGGCCAGCACATCCCTCGCCTGCGCCGCTTCCCGCCGCCCCCATTGGCCCGGGACGGCAAACCGCGGCCAATGGGGGCCGCGATCGGCTGAACCTGCCGCGTCAGCAGGTAAATAAACTGGCCCGGCCTGCTCGGGTGCTTACCCTGGTGAGCCGTGTGCCAAATGTTGCCGATCCCTGAACTAGAGACATCCCATAGGCCAGGGGTTCTCAACCTTTTCCTTTCTGAGGCCTTCTCCACCCAACATGCTATAAAAACTCCACAGCCCAT